CACATTTTTTCCTCTTCTGAAATCCCTGGTTACTTTCAGAAAAGTTTCCAGACTGGCAGCTGAAGTAAAATTGGCTTCTGAATTTCAGCCAGCAGAACTCCTGGGCGTTTCTCAAATTTCATTTGATTTCTTTCTCAGTCTTTCAAAGACAGCTGCCATTCTCCACTTCTGAAACTGAACTGGAGTTTGTGTTTAAGAATGACTGCTTATCTTTCCGTGTAGTGCCTGGTGTACTACCTATAGGTTTTGTGCCTTGAAATTTAAACCATAGCTTTAAGTTGAAAACATAAGGTCAATGGTGAAGATATAATTAGTAGATAAGATTGTGTTTTCAGTTAAAGTTTTAACACTGCTTGGTATATAACAGCTTGAATAGACGTTCTTGTCAGGGTGTACTCTTTGTTTGCTAAAGAGGATCCGGTCATACAGCTTCTCCAGAAGTAGTCTTCACTCTTCAGTTAGTCCTTGTGACTTGCAAAGTAAATGGCAAGTTTGTAAAGAAGGAAGATTAGATCAATTCTTACGCATACTCAATTCAAAAGCAGTGGTTTTGCGACCTTACCTAAAAAGGTACCAAATAGCAGCTTGCTGCTGGGTAGGTGGGCGGTGATGTAGTTTGATGGGCACAGGGTCAAAAGGAATTTACCGAAACATTCACAGACACCGTCAAATCCAGATGTATGGGTTATTGATGACTACTTACGCCAACCTTAAATCGCCCAGAAATATTTCTGTTACTTTTGTCCTGAAGTGAAGCACTGGTGGCAAAGTCTCCGCCTTGTCACTCTGACTCAATGCAAATCACTGCTCTCTCTAGCAAAGAGGTAGTCTTTATTGAAAGCAATGATTTTTTTTTCTAAAGGACTATTGCAGACAAGGATAGAACACTTGTCACAACTATAAAACACTTTTATGTGTACAGAGAGCTGAGTTAAACTGCATCTATAGATCATTGGTTTACAGCTTCAGATATGCTATAAAGATAAAATATGTACTTAGTTTTGTGAGTCAGATCCAAGATGTTACACTGTATGAAAGTTTGAGAGAAATGGCTATTCGCAGATGTGGCTGCAGAGTCTCTGAATCAGATGTATGTTATTTTCCCATTCCAAGGTTTTAAATGTTTAAAAAATGTACATAAAATATTCAAGCAAGATTTTGTATATCCACTTCCATCAAAGCTTTAGAGAATTAATTGCTTTTTCCAGTCTCTTTTCTTTAAATCTAACCATTACGTTTAGTTCAGGAACTTTGATTTTGGGTTTAGAAGTCAAGCAAAATTTAATGTTAGAAAACCAGTGCAAATTTTTTACAGTAAATTTAACTTCCAAAATCTTTCGGGTTTTGTGGTAGCAATGTGTCTTGCCATGTCTCTAGCTACATCAAGACAGATACCTACTTAATTTTTCCACGGGTGAGTGAGAATAAAGATTCCTAGAGAAAATGAGCTGTAGTTCAAGAAATGGGAAATCCATTTCTATCACTGAATTAAGGTCTGACCCAGTGCAAGGTGCCTAGCAATGTGGCTTCTCTTCTCAGCAAACTAACTTGGGGATGGAGTTGTAGCAGGCAGTTTAGAGATACTGTGGTGCCTCTTTGCTTGCCAAGGCAGCGTTCCTCATGCCGCATGGCTTTCTCCCAGTGGGGAAGACTACCAGCAAGGGTGGGATGAATTCCCCAGGCTTCTCTGGGTGTCCTTTCCATCCTGGACTTTTTTCCTACCTTTCGTAACACAACTTTCTGTCCTCAGTTGCTGTTGGTTTTTGCAAGCACAGGCTGTTTAGCAGCATTGACTACTGAATGTGCTGTTCCTGTTTCTGGCTGCCTGTGGCTCAGGGCAGGCAGGGGACGATGTTTCCGGCTCAGGAAATTGGCATCTACGTTGGCCGAAGTCCTCCGTATGTCCCAGCCTGATCTCTAACTCTGATGAGCACCGTCTGCAAGCTGCCTGATGAAACAGAGAGGCTCTAATTATGTGATAGTCTGCTAGTACTGAACTGTAAATGGCATCCTGACGCTTTAGCGGTGGAAGGCTGATTCTTAATGAAATTGGCCCCTGCAGTATCTCAGGCAAACAGAGCTGTAACTTTTTAATGACTTCTTGAAGACAGGTTTTGGAATTATCTCTGTCTCTCAATAGGCGGGAGTATCATTCCATTCCTCTCTCAAAGGGTTTTACCCTGTTTTCTCACAGATTGTAGGAACTGCTTAACAGTTGGGATTGGTGCGCCCTTGGTATTTATTTTAGTCATTGTAGACATAAATGGTTTTTACCCATATTATTTGTATGCTGTTTAACTACCACTAAGTGAATTTGCAGCATTTAAGCTGATATTTATTAATGACAGCAGCACAGTCTGACCTACTTTTCTGTGCACTGCCAGCAGTGAATATAAGCCCTTGGAAGAGAAATGAGAAAATTGCCAGAAAGACTGGTATAAATGATTCACAGAAGACTATATGATCAAATACTGTTGAATAATATAGCAAAGCTATATCACTGAATCTACTGAAAAATATAAAACTTGGTTTAAATAAATGTATCACATGTCCTGTTCAGAAGGTGGGGAAAATAGCAAATGTTTCGTTGATCAAATCCAAAAGTTGAGGGGTGTTTTGTGTTGGAAAATGATTTTCTATGGCCTTAAGTAGTGTGATTTTAGAATTATAAGCATCTTGTTGTTACTCTAAGAAGTCTTTGTATCTTGGTTATTCTACAAATAGAGAAAGTTTAATTTTTAAGAGAAATTTAAGAGAGAGTTTGATTTATAAGGGCTTTTTTTGGTTTGTTGTCCTCCTGTTGTGTTCCCCCCGGTCAATTCTGCCACATTTGTGCAAAAAAATCCCTGACCAAACCAAACCAAAAAAAGGCCTTTATTTTCCTGCCTAGTCCTGTGGTATTGCAGATGCCTGTCCATTACTTTCCCACATGTTATACCTCCTTCAGGGAGCCTTCGTCAAGGGTGATTTAAAAAGGCATAAGCAGAAGGAGTAGTACTTCACTTTGTGAAAAACTGCAGGTTATTGGATATTTTGCATATTTCTCTGTGTCACCGTCTGAGGGGATGTTTGTTAAGCAGCACAGCCAGTCTCCTCATAAACATCAGTTGCATTAAGTGTGGAGAAAAAAAGATTGCAAGATTGAAGATACTGGCATCTCTCTTCAGCCTTGCCTCTTCTACTTCGGTCTGTTACAGTGGTTGCAACTCAGGAGCGTATGAAATAACTCTTGAGTTATACTCGGGTGGTAAAAAAGATTAAAAAGACAAGATGTAGCAAAAAAACCTGGTTCTCACTCTGCTGGAATTAACTGGACATTTTGGGGCACTTATGTTTTAGCCTTCATGGCCTGCAGCTTCTGACTGTCAGGAACATTTGGCTTCCAAGCTAGATACTGCAAAAGCTGAAAAGATTGTCCACCAAGGAGGTGCAGGTTGTGAAGAGTGCATTTCATCCTGGAGATGGACAGAAATTTTGAAAAGCTGTAGGCTTACAGTCAGGTAGAAATTATTAAATTTGGATTTATTGATTGTATGGATCCTTTAGTTATAGACATGTGGAATAGTTAAAGGTCTCAAACACATTAATTAATACATTTTATCCAAGGTTAAGGGTGGAAAAAAGATCACAACTGCTTTCACAGCAATGTTCTGTGCCATTCCCTTGTTAGGAGAGAAGAATACCACAAATCATTGTGAAAGGTTGGTTAAGTAGATTTTAGTTTGAAACTGGTGATTCTGCAATGTATGCTTGGCTATGGCTTTTTAGTTAGCAGAGAGTAGTTATTCCAGGAAGACTGGCAAAATTTCTGCACACCTTGCTGGCCATACCAACTGGAGAAAGAGAATCAGGATTTGAGTAGTGGCTACTTTGTCCTAATCTGAGAGCGCCAGCACTTTTAAATTACACATCAGCTCTAAACACGTATTTTGGTTTTTTCTGGTGGATGACCGTTTACTTACAATTTTACAGTTCTTGTGCATTATTGTACTGCACAATCTCTGCTCCTCAGAGTCAAATGTGTATACATGTTCCCTCAGCTTCATCGCATTTGTCTGGATGGATATTTAGCCTATGAAGCTCTAAAGATTTCTCTTAGCCAAACTAGAAAACTGAGGACAGAACAGAGTTTTCTTTATAGTGGCTTATGCAACTTCTGTAGTGTCTTTCTGATTTTTGTGAAGAACTTTATAAACATGCTTATTTACCGTTTTCCCTCAGCTGCTCATTTTGGTGGAGTTGTAGTCAAATCTCCCATTTTGATAAACCTGTTTTATAACTACAGAATAATGGAATAATTCATGTTTGAGAGAACCTCAGCTCATCTAGTCTATCCTCCTAATCAAAGCAGGGTTAGGTCTGAGGTCAGGCCAGGTTCTTCAGGGTTTTATTCAGTTGAGTCTTGAAAAGCTCCAGAGATGGAGACTGTACAGCATGTCTGGGCAACTTGTTCCACTGGTGGACTGTTCTCATAGTGGAAGACTTTTTCCTTGTATCAAATCTGATCCTCTCATTTCAACTTACACCTCCTAGGTCTCGTCCCTCCACCCTGTGCCATTATGAAGAGCCCAGCTCCACCTCCTCAGTGCCTCCCTGGAGGTCCTGTTACGTCCTCCCAAAGCCATGTCTTCTCCAGGCTGAACGAGCCCTGGTCATGCAGCATCTGCTCAGATGAGTGATCCGGTCCCTACCAGCTTGGTTGCTGTCCTCTGGACTTGTGTCTTTGTTGTACTGGGGGGGAGCCCGAAGTCCCACGATGTGCTGGATGTGGTCTAATGAGTGTTGCGTGGAGGGGGAGAATCCCTTCCCTTGACCGACTGGCCGTGCCCCTGCTAATGCAGCCCAGGAAGCTGGTGGCCCTCTCTGCTGCTCGGCTGCTGCTGGCTCATGTTCAGCTCGCTGCCCACCAGCACCCCCATGGCCTCTTCCACAGAGCTGCTCCAGCCCAGCATCCCCAGGCTGTATCGTTGCAAGGCGCTGTTTCTTTACAGGTGCAGGACATGGCCTTTGCCCTTGCTGAATTTGGTAAGGGTCCTGTTGGCCCATTCCTCCGGCCTGTCTGAGTCCCTCGGGATGGCAGTCCCGCACACGAGCATACCAGCTGGTGTCCCCAGGGTGGTGTCGTCTGTAAACTTGATGAGTGTTCACTCTTCCAGAGCATTAGTTAAGGTGTTGAGCAGCACTGATCCCATGATACATCCTTGTATTATGCAACATATATTTAAATAGTGACTTTCACTCTATCAACAAGCCCAAGTTTAATCATCAAAGTAGGATGGCATGGCTGCTTGGCCTTTCAGTAGGAGTTGCCTTGTGCCTGCTGTTTGAAGACTGGCCTTGTGCAGCCATTTCTGTTAGGAAAACAAGAGTGGATGAAAGGTCTGTATAGCTACTGTCCTCTTGCTTGCAATTGTAGGTGCTATTATGTTGCAGTTTGTAGACTGCTTAATTGGGATGGATAAATGTATGGTGGAGTGGTTTGGGTGGAAAGGGAAGATCAAAACTGTGAGGTTTGGATCACTTAGGTGTTTCTGATCTCTCTGAGATATCTCTTGTGGGGTGGTTATTTTTTTTTTAAATAATGTGACTGAGAGTGGAATATAGGTGTAAGAAAAAGATGTACTCTCCTTCAGAAATGCGGTGACTGATACATGATACCTGTGTATTCCACTCCATGCCTGACATACTGCGCCTTTCTCACTCTCTTACTATCCTCAGATACTGTAATCCGTGGGCAGTTTCTTAAAGGAAATGCAGCTTTTGTCTACTTTCAATTTTTATGCCTTGGAGATCTAAGGTATCACTAAGTATTGCTGACAAAACCAGTTCTGGAGTCTGACACCTCTGCCTCAAGAACAGAACATATATAAACAGTAAAACCTGTACAACCACAGTTGAAGAAACAACTGTTCTTCAGAGGTGGCTTTTCTTGGGTTAAACTTGAGCAACTTCAGATAGATGGAGGTACTAGTTCTCAAGAACTGAGCCTGGGAATGGGAGCCAAAAAACCTTATAAGCAATTGGCATTGTCTGCCTATTCTTGTGATGAATGTACACAGCATAAGAGCTTGATAGTATCTGGCCTTAAGCTTGTATTGTTTGATGATTACTCTTCCCTCATTGGTTGAAAAACTAACATTTAAAATGGTCAGTTACATAATTTGCTATTTAAACATCATTTTTACTCTTTCCTTTTTTTCTCATTTTTCAGTGACAATGACAAATATTGGAGAAAAAGGTAAGTTTTATTAGCTGTTTATAAGTGGAATGCATGTATCAGGGTAGTATAGTAGTTTATGAGTAGAATTGAGATCTAACAGATCTAACCTGTTTTAAATAAGTATGTTTTTTTGTGTTCCTCAGCTCCTTTTATTATCCTGCTCTTCCTGAATATTGCTTTAGCCATTCCAAATAGAAATGAGAAAAATTAGAACTTTTTGCTCTTCTTACTGGCTTTCTGAACTGTCAACTAAAATAATCCTTACATTCTGTTTAAAAAAAAAGATATTCATAACAAGGAAAGCTCTTGTAAAACCAGGACTTCTCAAGATGAGCAAGGTGTTTGTGCAGAGTGCAACATACTTAAATGGGAGGTGAATTTTTCTGCAGTTCCTTTTTGGCCGCTGTCTTTGAAGAAACAGAACCCTTCAGATACGTAACCTTTGCGGGAGATAATAAAACTGCCTGATTAGCTGTCATTAGAGTTCCTACCACAAGGTTGTAGCATGTTTAAATTGCTTTGCAGATGCTATTTTAATACTACAGCACAACATGGAAGTGTCAAGTGTGGGGCTGCGGAGCTTTTGGAGGAAGGCGTTTGGGGTTAGGAGGCAAACTGTATGCTTTTTGTTTGTGTAATTCCAGCAGGTTTTATTAAGTCATTGGGGATTCCCTGGCTTAGAAAAAGTGTTTGCCAATTAAGAAACATTTGCTTGAAAAGCTTTTTTCAGTTCAGTGATCTCTCCCCCCATAAGCACCTCTGCAAACTTCTGCAGACTTTGAAATAATGGCAGTTTCCTGCTGCTCCGTCGTGTGTGTGTGAGACAAGTGTGGTGTTAGGCATTGCTCACAAAGCACACTAGAATTACTAGCAAAATGCATTAGGGAACACTAAATTTCCTTATTTTTAGCTGCTCAACGCCTTGATGAACTTCAGCCACTCCGGAGAAATTTACCCTGGCTGTACTTCTGCCCTAAGTGATTTCAGGGGTGAAAACTGGGCAAATGGGGCTCAGCCCTGTTACAGGTTCCGGCAGATTTCCAGGCAACTCTGGCTGTGCTAGCTGTTCGTAAATGGGTTGCCTTCAAGCAAGGGATACACCATTTGGGCGTCTTTCAGAAAAAGTGTAAAATAGAAGAATTTCTGCCCAGGGAGCTGCAGACAGCTCTTCTTTTTCTGTCTCAAGGGAATTGAGGTTCTTATGTTGGACTCTCAACACCCACAGACTCAGTGGACGCTACCCAGCAGCATCTCCATTGCGGTGCAGGGAAACTGGTGGGTAGGTAACGTGGGAGGGTGACTGGTTGGGACCTGGGCCGGCTTGGAGAGCTGAGGTGCAAGAGCAAACAAGAAGAGCTTAAGTCTTGTGCAGACTTTAAAAGGGAAACATGGGATAATGTCTTTAGGCTAAAATTTTGTCTTCCTCCAGTAATCTTTTTTTTTTTTTTTTTTTTAGTGTATGAAAAAGCAATTTTCTTATCAATTACAATTATCATTATTCTCACAACAGTAAAATATAGATGCACATTAGTAAACGCATAGTCTACAGAACTGACCTAACTTGCCCTACCTTGTGCTTACTTTGTACCATGAATACACTGTTGTTGAAAAAAAAAAATACTGATTTTGTTTGAGTAAATCAGGTGTGGGGTTTTTTTTAGAGTTGATAGAAATGTTCTGATAAAAATGTGGACTGTTCCTGCCAGATGCTTGTGCAATAACAAGATGGTCATTTAGTGTATTGTGCTTGATGTGGAGTCCAGTTCTATCCCTTACTTACACTGATGAGATTTTTTTCAGTTTATAGACATGACATATGGCTCTTTTCCCCTGTCGTCCCCAAAGCTTTGTACAGTATTGCTTCTCAGATTCTGTTAGCTTTTCTTTATGACTTTTTAACTGCCCAGTGAATAAGAATAAATATTTACTGTGTTGATGCTTTTTTGAGTAGACAAACTTCAACACCAGAAACATTTATTCAGCGTTACTTTTGAGGCAAAATTACAAAAAACAAGAACATACTGTTCCTGCATTTATACACACCATCATGCATGTGTTATGGAAAATTCTCTAGCATTGAATAGCATTACATATATAAGAGCATGGGCTAACCATACAAGGGCAATATTTCAGATTGTGTAGTGAAAGTACACGTTTCCCTTTATGATGTCTTCTGACAATCTTACAAATTTACAGAAGTTGTATAAAAACTATTTGACCGTGTAGCTTCCATATAACCTTGAGCTCTTTATGATCTGAGTTCATCTGTACAGCAGGGAAATAATAGTTTTCACTGTTGCTGTCCTAGCTGTCCTCTATATGCTGCTTCTCTGCCTGAGGAAGGAAAATGCAAGGAAATACTCTTTCTTGTGCATTAAAGCAAGTTAATCAGGGGATACAAGTTTTGGATTTACTACTTACTGTAGTGAATTGCTTAGTACAGTGAAAGCTTTTAAATGGAAACATCTATCCATCTACGGCAGGCTCTTTGGAAGAGTTAATGTTACCATCTGTATTCCAGTAAAACAACTGAGCATGGTAAATGTTGCCTGGCATCTGTTAAAAAAAAAAATCGAAGAATAAATCACTGGCTGTGAAGAATATAAAGTAGTGAATGAATGTTTGAATTTGAAGAACCTGCAGGTTTTTAAAACCCACCCTACTGTCCTCCCTCCTAAAAATCTAGCAAAACAAATGAACTGGTTATGGTTACTGCTCAGGTATCATATGCATATCCACTCAAAGACTCCCCTCACTCTAGTCATTGTTTAGGTAGATATACTTCCTTTGGGTGGGTTGGGGGTTTTTGTTTTTTTTGTTGGGTGGTTTTTTTTTTTTTTTGCATGGCTAGCAGTCTCCCTACGTGGCTTATAAAGCTAAAAAGCAGAGATGCATCAGTTAAATAGGATTTAACAAATGTATAAAGGGAGAGTGCTTGCTCAATAATTGTGGGGCTCTAATAGGCTATTAACAGGTCCCCTCAAACTTTTGTAAGACATGTAGCCTGTATCATGACTTTCCCCACACAGTCTGTATTTGTCTCATGTAAAGCTACAGTGCAATATTTTTGTTGCAAAGCTTTTGCAGAGCCTATGTATTTACATCTGTTAGAGTAACTATCTGTGATACATACAGCATCCGTTTGTAAGTACTATAATATCACTGGTCTGTTTGTATTAATTCTGTTCCTTTTTGATTTTAGTTGTGTGCCTGGTTGCTTACCACATATTTTTCATGCTGTTCGTCTGGTCATATTGGAAAACAATCTTTACACTACCAATGAATCCTTCAAAAGAAGTAAGATAAACTTAACTTTTGTTCTGAAATAGCCTAGTTAAATGCCTGATTTTGTAGTATTTGAATAACTTAGACTCTGATCTCATGTAGTTTTACGCTGTGTAGAAAAATACAGATGGTAGTTACAGCTTCTTAACAAGAGTAAGTCAGATTGCAAACAGTGTAATGACCAAGACAAAAGAAATTACACCTTCTCTAAGTTTTAAAGGGTTTTTAAATAATTTTTTAAAAATTAGATAATATTTGTGATATTAAGAAGAAAAAAACCTCTCCACTTGGAAAAATATGAGTTATTTGAACTAGCAGCTTAAATCTTTGCATGGGAATATAATATTTCTGTGGGCAAAAAATTTATTTCCCTGTGTTTAAGACTTATATGGCTTGTCAGCATCTGCCTGTTGTCCTCTGACTTAAAGCTTCTTCCCCATCTGTTTTGGTATGAAGGAACTTGGGGGTTGTGGCATGAGTGCACAACAGGTAAGCTGATGCTGGGAAGCCAAAACTGGCTAAGCAGGAAGGGAGCTAGTATAGAACAGTGGCATGGAAAAGAGGTCGGAGTAAATATATACCCCAAGTCTAAATCCAGCTAGTACAGAAGTGTTAAAGAAGGATCCATTTGTCTTGGAGAATATTAAGATACAAAACCATGTTCAACATGATATAGCCTCAAGATAATTGCTTTTAGTACAGTATTGGGTCTTTTATTATTTTAATTTCACATTCGTTCTAACATCTTAAAAAAAAAAAAAAGAGAGAGTGAGTAAACTGTCAGTAGCCTTGATGAAAGTCCTCCCCATGCAGCTTGGTACAACCAGTGCAACTTTTTGGCCTCTTTCATCCTGTCTGTGTACAGAAACCCCACAATCCTCAGTAGGTGCCGTGTCACACAACCTCTGAGGTCAAGAGGAATCATGCTATGGCTGCTCTGGAGTTTGAAATATCCACAAAACCATTACTTATTTTGGCATGGACTCATAACTCTAGCTCCTGTAACTACCATGCCAACACAAAATAAATAACTTGTGATTTCTGCTGTCTGTTGTGTGGAGGTTCTTTTCTGAATAGTTTTCATGCACTAATAAGATACATAATTGTGGAAACAAGTAGATAATTTAAAGTAATTGGCATCTTCCTTGATTTCACACTGCAGTCTTTACTACAGCTTGGGGTGGAGAGGAGCAAAATAAATTAAGAACCTATTTCATTTGGCAATTACATAGCAAAATATATGCATGTATATGGTGACTGTAGTGATAATTAGAAGGGTTTTCAAATCACTGGGCTGATGCCAATAAAAGACTTCCAAAACATTTTGACAAATCCTTAGTAATTACAGTGGGATTCCAAAGCCATCATACAATGCTACTGGAGAACTTCAAATGGGATATTAAAAGTATTGAAGTTGTGTAATAGAAAGCAATGTGTGGTGTTTCTGTGTTCTTTGAATTTACACAATGTTGCAGGCAGTAAGCGACATCTTTGTTGTTCCATGTCTTTTTCCTAATCTACTCAAGCATTATTTTAAAAATTTAATTAGGGTATTCCATAATGTTAAGTTGTTGCTTGGCTTCCAGTTTCTAGTATGAAGTCTGTAAATGTAAAAGGATGTATTTTCAACTTAACTGACTTAGCAGCTAAAGCAAATACTCGTTTGAAGACTGAAAAACAGATAAAGCTTTTGCATTTTGTTTTCATCAATACTGCAGCTGGTGCACACCACACAGCCTGTATATTTGTTTTTAAACTTATTGCAACTGTTTACATGTATGAAAAGCACTGAAGGTCCAGGTGCAGTTTCTCTTTAAGAGACTTTGAGGGACTTCACTTTAGTGTGCGCCATTCTGTACCTGTGTGTCCCAGCTATATACAAGCATTGCATGAAGGTGGGAGAGAAGATGGTTTCCCAGGCAGGAAGGTTTCGTAGACTTAGGACTACTCTGAGAACCAATGCAAAATGATGGAGCAATAGCTCTGTGTACATCAAACAAGAAGCATTTAAAAAAAAAAAAAAGTATTCTGAACCAAGTTTCTGCAGTGAGAAATCCTATGTATCCCAATACAAATGAGTTCCGGTGTTGGCAAGTGTATTCTTGCTAGGGAAAAAATGAAAGGTGACCTGAGAAACTCATGCTAAACATCGAACCTCCAGCTTCTGCTGGAAGATTGAGCTTTGTCAGGAAGGTAGAGTGGTGCCTTCTCTATGGAGGTGAGAAATAGACTCCTAACTACATGTTTCTGTCTGCTTTCTGAGTTTTACATGCATCGCTTTCATTTAGGAAAAAAATTAATATTGTTGTAATGACTAGCCTTTCTGTAGACATAAATGCTATGCAGAAGGCTTCTGTTCCTAGCACAGGTTTGAGACAGCCACTCTTCCTGCCAAATACAGACTTCTTTTCAGAGGTGATTTTGTCCTATTTCTCTGATAGAGACATCGAAGACTTTGGCATCTGCCCATTTCTAGAAGCTACAGCGACAAAGCTGACTATGTTGCTGTGTTGCAGAGGACTTTAGAGTATAAGAAATTTGGACTACTAAATGTATACTCTGCGTGTGTCTCAGTAATTTTTACTCTCTCAGCTCTTACTAGAGCAAAGGTTGTTATTGCCATTTTGGGCAGTGACAGAAGTTGTCCTTTTATGCAGGAAGATGTTAAGACATGGTTATTCTGTCGTACAGGACACCCATCTCTTCCTTCTTTCAGCCAATCTCCAAAGTAAAACCACATCCTAACATCTGCATGAAGAGAACACCAACTCTCCAGGGGCAAGGAATAAAAGAGAAAATGCCAGACACCAGAAGAGAAATAAAGCTATCTTTTCTGCTATTACTAGTAGCGTATTTTCTTTCAGTTAAAGACTGACATCCCTAGCGTATATTCACTAGCTAATATTTAGTATTACAGAAGTAAATTAACTGACCTTTCAAGGGAATAACCTTCTTGATCCTCTTCTGGAAGAATGTCGCTTATTACTTCTGGAAGCATTCCAATACCAAATCAGAAATAATTTTAATTTTGTCTTCAGTTGCCATAAACTAAATTAGTGGTCTTAGGAACACTGTGTTATTTGCTGTAATATCTTGTACATGCTGCTAATCCATCTTTATATAATGAATATTTATTTCTCTTTACGTCTCTGCAGATACTTATTTAACTTGAAATTTGCTAACGTATCTTTGATTTTAAAAATTACTGCAGTTTCATCTATCATATTCAGACAAGGAATCCCTAGAGAGGGAGCCTAGAGGTGAATCCCAGCAAGAAGTCTTAAGACGGGCAGCCAAGGATCTTCCTATCTATACACGGACAATGTCTGGAGGTAAATAGGTGTTCAGGAGACCACCAAAGGCAGGTGTCTTGATGTACTTGATGTACCTAAACTAATTAAAAAAAAAAAAAAAAAAAATTCAAGGGTTTGGATTGTAGGGAAGAACTGCTTTTCATACTTCATAAAACAAGAGTGACCCAAGAACTTAAATTTAATGTAGCTTTCTGCAGCTGCATTTATTCAGTTGAAGGATTGTTGGACAGTAAATTGCTGCATACAGTTTAGGATTTTAAAGTGGATTGAGAATGCCTTGCTAAATGTTTGCAAACTGACATTAACAAATAGTTTGTAATACTAACAAACTGCGGAAGAGGCTGTAGCAGTCTTCAACTGCATGGATTTCTTTTTTCATAGGTAAAAAAAGAAAAAAATAATCACTATCTGCATGTCATGTATGGCTAGGTAGATCACAGTAAGAAACTTTCACTGTTTTACTTGCTGGTTTTTCAGTTGCAAGAACAGAAGTTCTTCCAAACTAAGAGTTAATCTTAACCTACTGATGTTGTAAGTTTGTGAATGCTGGCTTAGCTAAGCAAATCCAAGAGATAATCTCATATAGTAAATTAAAGCTGTTAGAATAATAGCTTAGAATAGCTATATTGTTGAACAGTCTTTAAAGGTTTTCCAGTCTAGTGAGGTCTTTGTGGGTTTTGTGGATTCATTGGTTGTTTTGCAGAGCTGAGGGGTTTGGAAGAAAAAACCCTGATTAGTATGATTAGCAGAGATTGCAAAAACTGAGCTTTTTGGGTTCACTGTGCTAGATTCAGCATTGCAAATACTTAAAGAATGCTTCAATATTTGCAGCTGCTTCTTGTCTTGCTGAAATGCTTTCCTGGAGGATCTGTTGGGCTGAGCTGCTAGTATTTACTTTTGCACAGACTTCAGGAATCAAAATGTGTAACTGTGCATTGATATCTAATCTTGGAATTTTTTTTCTTTAGCAATCAGATACTGTGACAGATGCCATCTTGTAAAACCAGATCGTTGCCATCACTGTTCTGTATGCGACAAGTAAGAAAATATTTTAAATAAGTGGTTTTCTGAATAAGCGGATCTTTTTTCTTGACATTGAAGCTTTTATTTTTTTATGCATAGATTTTTCAGGTTTAATGTTTCGGCAGAGAAGCTTTTTTATTCCTTAGATTTTTCCCCAGGTTTTATTTATTTATTTATTTCTAAGGAAGTCTGTAACTTACTTAAATTCATTTGATGCCTTTCTTGATGCTGACATGGAATACGTGGTCTTACACATTCTTTACAGAATGGTTAAAAATTAATAATATTAATAAAGAACTTTCCTTAAGAATTTAACCAAAAATAGCTGATAAACAAAAATTTGCTTCTTTTGTTAGAATCTGAATAAAGATCACTACCCATCTCAATCTAATCATGATGTCACTTACATCTTATCCGAGGTAATGAACTTAATATCCTATTTTTCACTGGATAACTTGCAGGTTATTTTTATTTGAAGAAAGAAACAACCAAGCATCCCCCATTTCTAGACTGAAGCCATAAAATAAAGTTTGTGTATGTCTAACACAAAATGAAGTTCATCTCCATATTCCCCCGAAGTCTAATTGCTTTCTAATTTTATCTTTCTTTTGGCTGTTCTTCTCTCTGACCTTTCTCCAGTTAGCTTGGATGTCTGTGTGTTTCTCCGCTCTTGGCCCCAGTGATTTAACTTTCTAACTTTAAGAGAAGGGGCTTCCTCAAAGGTTGACTTACTCGTAGCTTTAAGGCGGTTCCAAATACTCTTCAGCTGATAATACATCAAACCTTCCAACATGATTGTGAGGCAGAGAAGACTTTCCATTTTGTCCAGCAAAACAGCAGAGGCACTAAAAGAGTAACTGAGTTGAGGCAGAAAGAGGATCTTGGTTGTGTTGTATGGGATGGTGGTTGCAATGTAAGATAAGAACGTTCTCATGTCTGAGCAGGGTAGAGAAAAAGGGTGACCTGTGTTATCATATGAAATGCGAGTGAAATTTGCAGAATGCCATTAGTTAATATAGTTTGCAGAATACCTTAATTTTGTCCTTACCTTGTCAAAATTCACTTCCTCCAATTGTATCTTGATTTTCTTGTGCATGTTTTATTATGGAGAGTGATCAATTGCAAAAATGTTTGGGATTTTTCATACAGGGTAAGTTCTTAAAAACCTCCTGTGCATCTGCATATATTTCTGTAAAAGCAAATCATGTACTTGGAAATACGTGTAGTTGCATCACTAAGTATATAATAACTGAATTAGCCCAGTTTCTAAGTCTCTGTCAGAGAATAAACGATAGTTGAAGAACCTATTCAGAATGACAACCAAATCCTAAAGCTGAAGTTATAGATTGCATTTTCTTAAACCACTAAGCTCTTGACAGAACAAGTGTTTTGAGTTTGGGTTACCTACAGTTTACTTGTAGGTAAGCTGTATTATGTGAATTTAGACAGACATCTTTGTTAAATAGATTAGGTAACCCTTAGTACATATGGGTAATTCTTAATCTGTATGTGAATAATTTATCTGACACGTAACTGTGCTTCTGACTTTTGTTTTTCTTTTGCCTTTTGCGATGCTTGGAATTCTGTTGGGTTTTTTTAAGATGCATTTTGAAAATGGATCATCATTGCCCTTGGTGAGTATACTGTTGGCTTTCTTTTCTTACTTTCTAATTTGGTAAAATAAACTCTTGAAGGGCCTGTTAGGAAGGTGATGCTTCACTGTTCCTAGAGTTAGATGCTTATGTGAAGTTACTGGTCTTGCAGGACCATTGGAGTTATTTACTGTATGTCCTCTTTTCCTAGTTGTGAGATGTGGAAAGAAGTTCATATATCATTTTTCTTAGACCTTTGAGTTAGGTAACTGCATATTTTTACACTTAGGATGAGGTAGACTTCTGGTCAGTAAGACGACTTTTAAGAATTGCATCTTTTCTTCATGGACTTTGGGTTTGACAGTTACTGTGACTTAGTTGCATTGAATGATGAAATACTACCCTAGGTTAAAAACCAAAGAGAAGGGCTGTGCCTTGTTCCCATTACTGAAGCACTCAGGACAGCTTGAGTGGACTTGCTGAAAACAGCAAGTACGCTTTTGTAGTTTTATGGGTTCTTTGTTTTCTTTCATTTTTTCTCCCCTCTCCCTCCTACCCTCCTTCCCTTTGCTGCCGTGTCAGCCTGCACAGTGGTTTTGTTTTCCTGTCTTTTCTCAGCAGCCCTTGGAACCAGTGAGTAGACAGGATGTGTCATTAATTTCATGTCAGTTTGGGAGGTATCTCACAGAAATAATTAAACATAGTTGTTTAGTAAGGTCCAAGTTAAGAGGATTGAGTGGTAGATGGCAGTTCTTCACCACATGAAACTGATCAGAAAAGAAGAATCTCCTGTGTTGGACAGACTGGATGGTAGATGGTTTTAAGCAGCTGGTTTGACCTTCTTAAATCAAAGTCCTGGGGGAGGAAGGGGTGCTGGGCTACTCCTGTCTGTCTTGGTCCTGACTACAGCCTCTGACATAATGCAGCACGATTTAAGAATCTCCCCTTATTTTGCAGCTGCATGGTAGATACAATTGAAAGAAATATTTAGCAATATAGGGCAGAGTTATCTCCTACCTTTTTTTTTTTTTTTTTTTTTCCTGTAGGGATATCAGCATGTGAAACTTGATGATGGTTAGTGTTAGTAGTGCGCTGCTTAAAAAAAAAAAAAAAACCCACAGATAAAAACATTGAATGCGGAACAAATTTCTTATAAGAAAAAAGGCTGTTTACTTTTTTCAGCCTTCTTATAGCTGTCTTGTAGAAAGCTATAAGAAAAATAGCTGTCAGGCTATTCCTGACAAAATATCAGTGAAAAGTCTCAATATTACTATTATTATTCAGTATTATACACACTTCTCATAAGCTTTATGGTCTGTTTGGGATGTTTTTGAGTTGCCCTGCCTTAGGATAGTACATGAAAATGTCCTTCATGTGAACTTCAATTTCAGAATAAAAATCCATTGCATCAAATAACAAATCGTAAACTGAGCACTTAAGCATTGCGTAAAGGGGCAGTGAAGTGGTATTTTACTAGGGCATAGACTTCTAAAAAAATAAACTCTATTTTCCTCTCAGTAGCGTTTGCTTATTTTATGGGTTTGCAGACTCTTCGTATCCAAACAACATAAACATACCCAGTTTGAGAGAGTATTTACATTGCTCATTGTTTTTAATCTAATAAGCAATGGGTGCAAAAAGAAAAAATAGAAATGGAGAAGGTATTTGAAAGATATGTAACGCTTCTTGATGGAGAATTGTTCCTTTTGTACTCCAAGTAACAGAAATGCACTAGAAAAAGAGGTATTGGCTTGTTTTATTTTTCCTAAGTTGAGTGGATGTCCACAGTTCCTCGCTCACCCTGAAAAAATTAACTATGTGGAAGTGACAAGAGAGTTTTGAAGTATTGCACAGATGCTGATCAAACTTCACAGTTTCCTTTAGAGATCCATGTTCGAGCAGTCTTTGGGAAGTATCGCATGGCTGTTCTACCAGCAAAAGTAAGGGTGCAAATCAGTATAATGGGTGGATTTTGCCCCCCTGAAAACATCATTAGGTCCTGCTTTGCTTTTCGTGTTGGGATTTTTTGGTGGGAAGGACGTATGAAAGAACTTATGTGATGCTTAGGGAGAGCAGGGAAACAGTAATGGGAATTACTGTTTTCATACTCTGCTCGGAGAAGGATTTCTGGAGAGAGGACAGGTAAAAATAACCTAGGGAAAATAAGATGAAGCATTTGGAAGGCAGAGGTAGTAAGATGGTAGTCATGTCCTAGCTCCAGGTCAGCTGTTTTCTGCTTTTTGGGAGGCTTTATTTTGGCCATTACTCCTGCGCTAATGGAAGTGCTGTGATAAACGGAAATATTTAATGGTAATTGCCCTCTAACTACTCTAAAAGGTTTAAGTGATGCAGAAATAAAAGCATTAGTGATTTCTATGCTAGTGCTCCTGCTACTCATACTATAGATGGAGCTGCAGGCAGGAATGTGATGGCTTGGGGCACCAAAAATACAATCTGTATGTAACAACTCTAGTATTAACAAGGTGCATTAGCAACACCTTAGGAAGCATTTGAAACATCTCTCCTTTGTCTTTTGAGTCATCTGAAAAGAATTTAGCATCTCCTTAGTCCTGTGATGCTTTTTGTTAACCAAGCTGCATCACCTTCAGTACCTCCTAAGTTATATTTTTGCCTGGCATTTTCAGTACACTAACTCCTGAGACAGAAAGGGTATCTCTCTTTTTTTTTTTTTGTACTTCAGAATTAATTGTTTTAAATGTTATCTGTAATCCAAACTTTAACCTGGAATGCTCTTTTGTATGAATGTTTCACTGCAATAGCACACCATTATTTAGCGAGTTGACTGTACGTTTATCAGTTTTACTCTTCCTCAAAATGTTAGACTTTAAATCTAACCACCATTCTTGGGTCTTATGATTTGATGCTACATGTTGAAATAACATAATTACAAAACCTTGGTATTTACTTTCTCTTTGATCTTTTGATGCACTATCCTCTTCCAGTAAGGACTCCTCAGTCTGGGGCTTTGTCAAAACTGTGGGGAGTGGGATAATTTATGAAAGTTTTTTTTTTTAATGTGTATACCATATGCAGTAGTGCAAAAGAACAACAAGAAATAAATCTGTCTTTGATTCAAGAAATTTCATTTCTGGTGAATAACATTTCACATGATATTTCTTTTCTCGCTGAACAGTGTCATAAAGTAAAAATTGTCATAAAGGAGGAAATACCATGAAAGTAAAGCAGGGTTATCATAGAAAACTTGCCTGAATTGCTTGCAGTTTATCATGGAATTGCTAACTTTGACATATTTAATGAAGAAGACACTTCATTATGGAGAATTGTAAATTTACTTTCCAGTAAGAATCATGATAAGCTTAGAAACATATCTTCTGGGTTTTTTTTTTTTTACTAGAACTATCTATTGCGAGTCCTTTTTAATTGTAGTTAATAGAGATGCTTAGCTATTGCTGCCTGTTTAAATAGTGATGCTAAATTTAATGTTTAGCCAAGGTGGTATGTTTTGTAAAAATAAAACCAGTAACAAAACAAAGAAACAAGAACCCCCTGTCCACCCTGAGGATGGAGAACAGTAGCGTACAGTGAAAGCTTGTTTGGTATTTTAAGATTTTTACCCTATTCTGATTACTGTGTATCCTGCCATTAGCATCAGTGTCTCCCTAAAGAAGAGAATAGTTGCACTAACTTGTCCTGTACTTCTGGAAGAAGCTGAAGTTGAGACTTGCCACAACTTCTTATTTTTTGAGAATTATTTTTCAACATACAAATGCTTTCATGGATGTAGTCTTCTCTTAATTAGCTGCTCTTTCTGACAGCAGTATCAATTAGTTAAAGAAGGTATAGGGAATTGGGGTTTTTTTTAACTCATATGGAGAGTTGTGTCGAAGTTAGCAGTGCAATGATAACTTTGGTTAGTTTTTTAATGCAACCACATAAAAGAAAAAGGAAGCTGCTTACCAACAAACTGTCCATGGGCAGCACTCCAAGCTTTTTCATTTGGTGGGTGTAACATCATTCCATGTTTAATACAGCTCTAAAATTCATAATACTTAATATATTGCCTCTAATGGGAAGCTGCTGTGGTACTAAATGTACCCTCATCATGTCTCTCTGATGATAGCGTATACTAGTTGCTCATTCTCATGTAGAAATTCGTTAGAAATGGGAAACGGGTGAACTTGAAGCCAATAAGTAAAAATCTTAAAATTAGATTTATTTTAACATTTAGATGTGTACCTAAATGTTCCTAATATTTTTTATTTGCTGTCATGTTGTCACTGATATGGAACATTTTCTGTTAACTGAACAGTAGTATTTCCCGCATTATTTTATATAAATGTAAATATTTTTAAGGATGTCCTGTGAATAGTCTTGAGTTTGAGAATCTTACTAATAAAGTTTACGCTAATACGTAGTATGATTAGTGAAGGAGGATGTGGATTAAACGAGACTGCTTTTATTCTCACAAAATTCAATCGAGATTCAAAATCTTGGCTTGTAACTGTCCCAGTTGTTATGTTCAGTATGCCAAATGGTAAAACATGGATACTTAAACTTACCTACGAACTAGAAAAGTAACTGTAACTGCAATCACATTTACATTGGTTGTGCTGGGAACAGATTTCATACCATAAGTCAAAACTGAATTTTGGTAAACTGTTGAAAGTGGTATTTCCTGGTAAAGTTCTTTGGGGTTGTTGTTATGATTAGAATTGCTACAGTAGTTTGGGAGTTGAAGCTAAATACATTTCAGTAGCCTGAGGCATCACAGATAGGAAGGAAAACTTGGTTTACATACTGATACTAACTTTTTAGAGTAAATTAGTCTAATTCTAAATTGGATGAAAGCAAAGAATATAACTTTCTTTACATTCCAATTTTTTTTACTTTTTTTTATCAGGGTGAACAACTGTGTAGGATTCTCCAATTACAAATTTTTTCTTCTCTTCTTGGCTTACTCTCTACTGTATTGCCTTTTCATTGCTGCAACAGATTTACAGTATTTTATCAAGTTTTGGACAGTAAGTACTCTCATATAGATACTGTCTTTAAGCGTATGAAGTTACCACTGTGCGAGAAGTCTAATATTCGAGGCTTTACATTGTAATCTAGTATCTCCTAATATGAGGTACAGAAGTTTATCAAATAATCAGTCGTCTATTTTTTTTCTGTTTATCATAGTTTATGAAGTTTCACTTATTTCTACATTATTTTGAAGCTGCGTAGAACAAGTATGCAGTTACTAATTATTTAGAAAATAGTTTACAAGGGAATTTATATTATATATAGGTTTTGTTAACTTCTTTTAATGCTATACTATGAAAAGGCTTCAGGGACATTTTCTAGTATTTTAATTATGATTATCTGGATTCACAGCTTAGGATATTACCCTCTTAGATTTACAATATTTATGCTGTAATATAACTATTCTGAAAAGGCTAATTAAGACAATTTTTATAAAGATAAATTATTCTTCTCTAAAAGACACTTCAAAGTTCAGATCCAAATTGCAGGTTCTTGTTGTCAGTATTTATACTTTCTCAAGAAAGGGCCCATTTCTTTAATTTAGATGCTGTCAACAACCTAATTACGTGGCCGTCCATACATAGAAGGTGTATAATTCATTTATTCAGACTCTTGTTGCATGGTACGTTTGTGTCTCCACTGAATTTGATTTGGCTGAGTAGAGGATTATTAATAATCAAATTAAACAGCTATTTCCTCATTTCTAAGAGCTTTTTTTTTTTCTTTTTTTTCCAGAATGGCCTTCCTGATACTCAAGCAAAGTTCCATATCATGTTTTTATTCTTTGCTGCAGCTATGTTTTCTGTCAGTCTGTCTTCTCTCTTTGGGTATCATTGTTGGCTTGTCAGCAAGAATAAGTCTACATTAGGTAAGTGGATTTAATGCTTCTGTGATTGACAGCGAAAAATAAATACTAGATGTATACTATATGTATGGGGGTAATGGAAAAAGTGGGCAATCCTATACAGGGTCCTTGGATCCTGGTTAGAAGTGCCTGGGTCTGGCAGTGTCCAGCAGCGACTCCTCAGTTCTGCTGCTCCCGGGAAATTCTGAGTCTTTTCCTCCTGCCCCCAGGGGCCAGGGGCCAAGCTGTTGATGAACTTTTCCTCTTCCTCCCATCCACAACTTGTTAACAGAAACCAAATGAATTAGAAAAAACAAAAATGAGATCACATTGGAATAAATGTTAGATGCACTAGCGCGTGCTCGCACAAGTGCTTCTTGTTTGGCGTTCCCAGCGCCCAGGTCGGAGTCCTCTGGTGTGGTGTCTCAGTCAGGGCCCTGGCTGCAGTGCTTTGTGCCCACCCGTGCCCCCTGCAGAACCAAAGTTCCTCTGTTCAGTTCGGCTACAATTTTGTTTAAAAGCCCTGAAAGGCATAGTTATTCATTCCAAAACTTAGCCTGTACTGGAGGCAAGGAGAGAAAAAAAAAATCCGCAGGGCAGGCTGCCTGTGGCCCCAGTGGTGTTAGTTTTGATCAACGTGAATGAGCGCAAAAAGCGAATGTCAGAGAATGATCTGATACAGAAGAACAGGCTTCAAGGCAGCGCTTCTGTATGTAGTAGTAAATGAACACAGAGATCTGAAGGGCAGTTCCACAGTTGTGCGTCCTGTCTACCACATAATCATAGATGCAGAGAAAGGATTCTGTGTTAATTTTAAAAACCTCAGAGAAGATGGCCTGTGCCTCTACTATGGGAGTGTATATAGAACTGCACTGAATATCACTGTTAAACCAGGGTTTCCCACTGCCTGGATGCATGTTTGTCTGGTTACAAATCTTAAAAAAATAAACAAATAAAAAGAGGTGCAGAAGATTTGAGTGCCAGTTCTATGCTATATCCTGGACTGTAGTAATACCAATTTGCAATGTATTCATTAGAGTTTCTAAATCTCTAAATGCTTTTCTGTTGATATGAGCTGAATTAGAGTAAGCCAATGAATTGATCTGTTTTTTCCAGTTCTCTCCAGATTTACTAATATGTAGGTGATTAATGGAAAACTTTTGAATATATATCATTGGAAGAAAGCTTGTTTACTTCAAGATTTCTCTAGGGTTTGTCGGTTTCTTCAGTATTCTGAAAAATCATCTACTTAGAAATTAGTATCGGAAAAAAATTGGTCAATCTAGTTATAAGCGGAGAAAAGTTTTATTAATGATGCTTAAATGAACAGAAATAATGAAGTATTCTGTTTACAAACTGTTCTTACCATTTTAGTGGGAAAAAAGAATGTTCAAAGGTAAACCATAATGCAGTACACTTCTAATTCAATATTTCATGTTTTTAAAACAAACTTAATTCCGTGCAGGTAATACACTGTTTTCTGTGCACTTAAGCTACTCAAAAAGATCAGTTTGTCTCTTCTTCCCATTTTACTTTGGGGAAACTGCTTGATATGTAAAACCCTGAACATGCAGTAGTTTGGTAATGAAGCCATGACAGCTTTAAGTGTGATTGTACTTAAATCATCCTGGGAGCTGTTTTCCTAGCCTAACGTGGGCATCTAAAAGGGTATCTCTATTTTCCTTTCCCCCTTCTTTAAAACACCTTGTAACTAATGCATACTACACGTTGAAGGTCATTTTCAGCAGTTCATAGCTAAGGATTTACTGCAGAAGGACGGTCTTTGCATGGTTCCAGCCTGGTTTGTGTGAGCTGTACTGTCAGGGCATCAAGGACATAGTTTGCCTACTATACATAGCCAATTAAGGGAATTAAATAGCTATCACTCACTTGGTGGAAAGGGAATGAGTTTTCTGCTTCAGGCACTTTGCAACACTTGTAACTGTATGTAGCTCTCTTCTCCAGAAATTTAGGTTGGACGTCCATGGGGAATAATCTGGGTCTACGAGTACAGTGCTTTCTTTATGCAGCTGTAAAAACACACAATATTTTCATACCCCAAGGTATGAAAAGCTAGTTTTACTACTAAAGTGGGTTCAGCTTTTCCTCTTTTCCGTTACTCTTTCTGTAGTAAACCCTTTGTTTCGGTTTTTCTTTCTTCAACACTCTCTGTGGTATAGTCACATGCCGAAATCTTCATATAACATAAAAAGGGAGTTCCTCGCTCTTCCTTGCCTTGATTAGGGAGAAGGGCGGGGGAGACTTCCACCCTTCCTCAGCCATAGGACTTCCTCTGCACGCACAGTGGCTGTGTAGGACTGACTCTGGCTTTCGTGAGTGGACGAGCTTTCTCAGTCACTTGGGCAGTACAGCTTGTCCTCTTGGGTGATGGTATCAGTGCAATTGCCTAAATACTGCTGTGTGAAACTTAAACGTGCCGTCTTGCGAAGAAATCTAATAATTTTTTTTTTTCTTTTCAGAGGTATTCAGAGCTCCCATATTTCGTCACAGAACAGACAAGAATGGCTTTAGCTTGGGCTTCAGCAAAAACCTAAGGCAGGTGTTTGGTGATGAGAAGAAATACTGGTTGCTGCCTGTGTTTTCAAGGTATACTCAATTTTTAATGCTTCATTTGTTGAAACTTGAATAATCAGGATCCACAGGGTTTGGGGGGGTGGTTAGCTTTTTGAAATAAGGTGAAGTAATACTCCCTTTAGAAAAAACAGTTCTTCGAAGGTCTTTTTTCTATGTATGACACTAATTCTGAATTTTTCAGTCTAGGGGATGGTTGCTCCTTCCCAACTTGCCTTGTTAATCAGGATCCTGAGCAAGCTTCCACACCTGGTGGTCTTAATTCAACATCCAAAAAGTAATCTGCTTTTTGTTACTCATTTCAAATAATTGATATTCTGTTTTTTCCTGTGCACATGTGAATAGAACCATGTATAAGATACTTAAAAGTGGTAAGCAAATAAATAAATACAAGTCAGATTTTAAACAGCTAAATTGTAATGCAGCTAATCCTCAGACTTATAATTAAATTTATGGAAATAAATTTGTCTCAGTTCAGTGGCATCCCAGGACCTGAATTTTCCATGCCTGCCTAAACAGTATCCGTAACATTCTGTTCTGCATACGTATGAGACAGTTAGTCGGTCTGCCTGGGATACAGATGCATTACCTTGCAAGGCTTGTGGGGGAGGTCTGCTTCTTTGTATCTGGGGAAAAGATGCTTTGCATACGGGAATCCCAGATCTCAGCACTTGCGCTGAAGCACAAGAAGCTGCATATTAAATGCACGTGTTTTATTTCTGCTGATAATAGGATACATTTTCTTAATCCTTATCCTTCAAGGCCATGGCATCCTTAAAGCATGAAAAGTATGCAAATGTTCCTTAAACTAAATAAATATAATAGCTTAGTATTTCATATTGTAACTCTTTAGCAATATTCATGTAATGAAGTGTGTGATAAGTATAGTAGACTTGAATATGTGACTAAGAAATGATAATGGAATCGTATTGACAATCTTTTATTCATAAAGGAAATACATGATGTTTCAGCTAGCTGTTTATTGATTTTTTTTAAATCTTACCCCAGTGATCCATAGCTTATATTAGGCAAGAGATTTTGGAGATGTTCTCTCCAGTGTTTGTCATGTCAGGTTAGTTGTAGTGGGACTGAATATGGATAGAGTGCATTTGGAACTGAAGTACATGTATTAATATATAATATCTGTCAAATAAAAAATCGGAACGTTTCCTTGTTCCGTGCTAGAGAGTTGCCTTTTAGATTGTGCTTGCATCTGTGACAACTACAGTGTAATGTATGTAATGATAAAGGCATAGTGATTCATCAGAAAAGAAGCAAGGTAAGGTAGGGAAAATACCGTGCATGACGAACTGTTTGTAATGTATGGTAAGATAATGAAAAATTACTGCAGTTTACTACCATGTTCTTTCTCTTGGCATTTCAGTGAGAACCACCTGTTTCCTGCAAAGCCGTTGCGTGATTCCCAGAGCCACCTTCTTACGGATACACCGTCTTGGTCAGAAACTAGTGGAAAGGCTGAAAAGGGCAAAGTTGGTAAAGAATTGATTTATGCTTCAAATATTTGTTTTGTAATAAACTAGTTTTGAAGGAGACAGGGTAAAAATGACCAAGGTCACTTGGCTTTTGTATTCATGAACCAAAATTCATGAAGCTTATTTTAAATGCATGCATGGAAGTTCCATGTATCGAGCTGCCGTGTCCTTCCCAATTAAACCCGACCAAGAGATTCTGAGAACTCCAATACCAGTAGATGCTACTTATCTTTTAGGCTGAGCCTGATAATTCTTTTGGGAACAAATTGCTTTTATCACAATATGACACCTTGTTGCACCTAGTGAAAACCCATGTAATGGACACAGGACAGGATTAGACTTGGTAATAATGGAATGACATTAAGATGATTGATAATTAAAGGCTGTATTATTTGCTGAAAGAGACATGAGACCTTTTCCTGTGGAAATACAATTTTTTGTCTTTAAAGGTATGACCAATCCTGCATTAACCATGGAAAATGAAACCTAGTTTCCCTTTAAAGAAACATCTGAATATATAAGGAAAGGTATGTTAATATTCTGTGTACTTAATATGCTATTCCATGATTCCTTACCACTTGAAGAATGCACAAAAGAAAACTACTAAAGCAATTCCTATCTCTCTTATGTTTTTTTACCATGAGGTAGTAGCACATGAATTCATAGTTTTAAACTCGACCTCTGATTTCTTGATGTGTTTGCAAAATATTGTTTAACCTTTATACCCATTGCTTCTAGGTAGTATTCCAAAATATTATTATTATTCCCTTTCACTAGAAAGATAATGAAATTGTGACTATTCAAGCTGTCCAGCAGATCTTTGTAAAGCTAAGTTTGAAAATGAAGTTAATTCTTAACACTGAATGCAAAGATCATAGCTTGGTCTACTAAAGCAGGTAAAGGTCTACCAGATAATGAAAGAAAAATACATTTATTCTAATACGTGAAACTATTAGCAGCTTGTTCTTCTATGCCAGATCCTGAGCATTCTGTTCAATAATTTTAAGTGTTGCCTACTGAAGACAATAGGTGTCCATAGGAATTCCTGAGCATTTAGTTACCTATTGTCAAAAACAGCTGAGATTTTTTTTTTTTTTATTTCTTGCATTGATATCTTGCAACATAGACTTCTCAGAATGCAGGTTTGAGAAGCAACTAGTAAATTCTGTTACGTACATGAGAGGAGACCTTAATAATTGTGTTGGGGAAATGAACACAATCGATCATCATATTCACTTTACTATTTGAAGATTTCTAACCCCACCAAAGCTTATGGAAATCAACTATTTCATATTCAAAGCTGGATAAAAAAATTTACTCCAACCCTAAGAATTTCAGCATACCAAATAATTTATGATTTTCCAACAACATTGGAGGAGTCATTCCAGCAAGGTCAATTTCCATCTCTGCTATTGGAAGCACCCTTTCAGTCATCCTGAAAAAGTGTCTCAAGTGGTTGTCCTTCATTTGTGTGTGACATGATGCCTGGACATGCTGTCACGGCTGTCAGGCTGCTCTTAGTTACTCCCAGAGGGAAGGCATGGAAAGCCGTCAGAGAACTGCAGTGATTGTTACTAGACCCATGGGGCATGGTATTGCACTGTCAAGGCATATTATAAAAATGGTAGGTGTGTAGATACAACAGGTAGCCTGTAGCATGTACCAAAAAGGTCCCAGAAGTTTGGTTGGATTCATCAGAGAAACTAGAAAATTGTTGACCATTACATTCTGGTTTTGTGTTAAGTGGTGAACGAAGACGCAGATGGTTCCAGATATAGGTACATCTACAAACTTGATGATGGTGTGAAGTGTTAAAGTGTTGAAAATGTGGGTGTCAGAGTTGGAGATGAGCGAATGAAACTCAGGCAGCGTCTGCAATTTTGACTGCTCTGTGTAGGGGTGTTGGTTTTTTTTTTTTTTTTTAATGGAATCTAAAAATCTCATTTCTAGCCCTTCATTCAAAATGTAAAATGACATGCTTCTGCCCTGTCTAATCCATCAGTTGTTTCAACAAAAACCCAGCTTCTGGAAAAGAATAAATTATTCAACTTCAGTTAGTTTAATGTCTTACATGTCATCACTACTCAAGAGTCAAACACTGGAGACAGGCTTTAAAGAAACAGATTTTTGGATTATGTTACAGAAATATCATTAATTGCAACTAGTTTTGTCAGGTTGGAGTTCTTCTTTCAAAAGTCCTAATGCTTTATTTACTTAAGTAATAACTTTTAAACTTTAATCTTTCTTTGAACAGTGTGTACATTTTATTGGAACTCTGTCATTCAGATTATTCTGAATGTCAGACATGGTCTGTTGTTGTTCTCAAGATGCTGACAGTGGGTTGTTTGGGTTTTTTTTCAAGCTGTGTAGCTTGATAAACATCTTGTGCTCTTTTTTGGTTGGTTTTTTTTTTCTTTTAGTCCAGTCTGAGAAGGTAACAATTAGATTTGTGTTTGCGGTCTGATTACCCCACCCCCTGGGCTTTTGGGGGTTTGTTTGTTTGGGATTTTTTGTTTCTTCTTTTTGTGAGCGTCCATTTTTGAAGTGCAGATTTTTAAAAAGAGACAACCTTCAGAGGGGGTTATGTTCCAAAGAGTTAGCGTGAAGGCATGTAAAGGGTCTCCTGGAAGTCAGTTTTGCCTCAGAGCGATGTATGCACATCTCAAAAGGGCAGTAGCTAAGGACTGAGAATTTCTCTAGCATGAGCGTGCCAGTGTGGCTGTAACCTTAGCTCTGTCTGAGATACTGCTGTGTAGCACTTAAGAGACTTTTGGAGTTGTAACAAAAAAGCCAGATTACTGTGTGTATATATGTGTGTATATAGCTGACATACAGTTGCTGGAATAAGAGCCCTTATATAGAAAGGTTTTTATATTATTTTCTGGAACCACTTTGCGTTTAATTTCATTCCTTTATCATCAGTATTTGAGTTATATTTGCTCTAGGGAGTGAATAGAATACCTTATTAAAGATGCTGAAGTCACAACTACAAAACCAACTAATTTCATCTTTGACACAAAAAATACAGCCCACAGCCCCTGCCGGTGTGTTAATAATTTGAATTTCTGTCCCAACTAAGGTTATGTTCAATATCCTGTAATCCTTTATAGTTAATCAGAGGACTAACTAGTGAGCGTGCCAGATGTGGTTTACACTAGTGTAATAGAGAGGGGTTTTTTAATGATGTTGGTACCTGGAAGTACTCTAAAAATAGCTCACTTCATTTTATAAACTGGTGGCCTGCTTGCTATGTAGTCAGTTCTTAATCACTGTCATCCTGAAGTGGATTAATAACGTAACTGTGAACAGCCTTACTGCGTTCCTCTTCAGGGTGGTATTTTCATTCAGCTGTTGTTCACTTTCCCCTTTGAGTTGATGAGACCTGTTGCCATAACTTTAAGTATTCTTCAATTCTAATAATGTATTTTGTGATTAATGTTGTGTTCCAGTTCAAGAAAAAGCTGTCGTTGGAAGGAAGATGCATTCTTCCAAATATCAGCCCTGTTGGCCAGCTGCTCCTGTCTGCTCCTGTGTGGATGTGCTCAGAAAACAAACTGACAGATGATTAGCTGTCTCCATGTCACTGCTTGAAACATGAAACTAAACATACTACTTCTGAACCATATAAAGAATGTTTCAACTTAAAATTACTGGTTTTGAATGGTGAAGGATGATTCCGAGTATTAGGAAATGAAAAAAAAAAAAAAAGGGAATCTGAGTTTACAATTGTAAAAATTCAATGGCTGGTTTTACTTTGATATTCAGCACAAGAAAAATGTAACCTCCTTACATATCAGTAGTCCATGTTCTTGCCTTGGTTTTGAAAATTCACACGTTAATTCAAATTGCTGTAAGTAGTTGACTTTAAAATCAAATTTTTGCACTACTGGCTTTACAAATTGGGAGAACAACCAGTGTTGAGTACAAGTAATAGTGGCTTGGTGGACTGCATTTTCTTTCAAGCACTTGATAAGCAATTTTTGAAGAGAAGAAAACCCAAGTGAAGTGTCTGACTATTTTTCGAACATTTTTGGAAAACATTATGGCAAAGGCTCCGTTTTCCCTCAGATGTCCATTGCCAATAGTTTAAAAAGTTTTGGAGGGGGAAAAAACCTCCTTTGTTAATTGAATGCTACAGTGGGTCACTGGTAAGTGGAGCGATAAAAAGCCTGCATTCAGATGGGTAATACCTAAATGAAGTTGGCCAGCTGGGGATTTTGATGGGAGCTGCACAGGACAGTGCTATAAAAGGGGGATTTTATTGTCCTATTTGGAGCTGTTATCCCCTTCAGGAAATGAATGTTAGCGCTTAACTTTGATCCAAAAGGCTTGTCACCAACCTGTGTTCCTGAGGGCCACCATCTTTCAAAATCCTAGTTTTTTATTAATCAAGAGTTGTCTCAGATTTCTTTTTTCACTTGTTCTTTAAGACACTGCCTTTCTTACTGCATCACTTAATGAATATCACGTACAATCAACGAGACTTACTGTTATAACTTGTGATATTTGCATTTACAGGGCAACGGATGTTTGATTGCAATACCAAAAAGCCAAGCTGCTGCATGTAGAAGAACCCCCTTCAGTTAAGTTAGGAGCTAGCAGCTTGCTTAGGATCAGAGGTTACCGGCCAGATAATAAAAGATGCATTATCAACTTTCAAAGTCAAGGAAGTTTCAGCAACACAAATGTAATTGTCTTGTGCCTTTTGTATACACTACATTTACAGTATCAGTGTTTACATTTAAATGCAAATTGTTATTCTGAAGACAGCTTTAGGAGGAACTTAGTTATGCTTTCTAGGTGGCTATATAAAAAAGACTAGTCCAAAAAAAAAAAGTGAAAACATCTCAGTCTAGCTCAGTTCAGTTGAAGCAGAAAAGTACTTCTGTTACCAAACCTGAGTCACTTAGCAGGTTGGTTCACAGCGTAAATATGCCAGTTTGTTTAGAAAACTGGGAGCAGGACTACGTGACAGATTTCTGAAAGCAAAAAAATCTTATCATTAACTCTTCTACAGGCAGGTAACTTTAAAATTTGTCTTTCCTGGGTTTACAACTTAAGTGATAGCTGTTGGAGCACAAATGTGGCTTTTTTCTAGTGAGGGAAAATGTATTTATTTTACTACTTTTTTTGGTTTTAATCTCAAAATTTTACCAGCCTGAAAACATCTGTTTCTTGCCAGAAGTGCCAGAGTATGGAGCCCTTGATGTAGAACACCTTTTTTTAAACTAGCATGAAGGTAGCATACAGTTTACATGATGCCTGCAGACATCTAGCAACCAAAAGTTTTTTGCAGCTATTTATTCAGTGTTGTTCTGTCAGCTTACCTCAAATTAGTGTTTGTTTAAAGGCTAACTTGTCAAGGGATACGGGGGAGAGGGAAAATATATTTTTTAACACTTCAGGTTCTCTATCTGTATAGTCTTGTTTTTTATGCAGTTAGTCACAGGGTGATTTGTCATGGAGCATGCATTTGAAAATACTGAGTAAAAAGTTGAGATTCAGCTTCAGTGTAACTTGCTCCATATTTTTATGTAAAGACAAAGTACAGATTTCTTCCCTAGCAAAACTCATAATGGAAATCGATCTCTCTAATACAGACGCCAGCCTCCCTGACTGTGTCCAGGGCTCTGAGAGCTCTCAGTAAGGCTGGGGATCAATGTAGAGAAAGGACAGGGATAAGGGATCGAGAAATGCCTGGCTTCTCCATGTCTTGGAAGTCCCACTTAAAAACCACAATAGCCCTAAATAATCTGCAGCTTTGATGTAGCCAGAGGCTGTCCCTCTAGCAGAAAACTGATGGAGGCGTGGGAAACACATGCTGATGAAGGGAGAAGAGAAATGCCAGTAGCTGGGAGGTAAATGTTGAGCAGCTCTGAGGCAGAGGGCTCCAGCTCCACCTGCTCTCTGGCTGGGCAGGAGCTGTGCCGCTGTGCAGAGCGCTGGCAGCAGGCTCTTGAGAGTTCCTGGCAGTTCTCACTGTGTAAAGTATGGAGAAAAGTGAGCTAATCGTGCGCCAAAGTATAATTTCTGATATGACTATGTTACTGGCTTTAAGCTCTCTAATACTTTATATAGTGAAGTGAAAATGGTCTTTTTGACATCATAGTATCATTGAGCATTGATGCTGCTACAATGCACGTGGGAGAAGCTGTGAAGAGGTAAGGGGAGCAAGGATGCAATGTTTGTCCACTTAACACCGATTCTCCTGTTCTTTCTATTCTTGCTAGGCACTTTACTACAGCCTTTTGTGTAATTTCTGTATTTTTTTTAAAGACTGCTTTTTACCTACTGTACAGTTACTAATCTACTTTTTTGCTAAAAAAGAAAACAATAGCCCTGATATTTGTGTAGCAGTATGACTGCATTTCAAGCTTCAGTGGAAGTTAGATGAGTTCTAGACTCCTCAGATGGGCCTGAGTCCCTAATGACAATAGAGTTAAATTTATTTTGTATATATGTAACCAGTCACATGAATCATAGCCCCGCCCCCCCCCCATGCTTAAGAAGCTTCCTTAATTTGTAGGGTAGAACAAATCCAATACATGTCTGCACCAGAAGCAGTCCACACATTCTCTATGTCAGTTGATGTCCTGGTGATGAGCGCTCAAAGTCTTCACAAAAAAACCTATTTTTGTTAAGAAAATGGACCACCTAGATGTTGGTGAGCTCCTCCCACTGAGCAATCAGGCACAGCTGCTGCTATGCACTTTAATTCTTTAACTTGAGAGAAAACACTCTCCAGTTTCAGTTGCAGACTGAAAGCTCTTTAGTAGCCTACAACTGCGGGCAGGTAATTAACAAAGCACTGGTAATTATTTTTAACTGTGTACTTAAAATCAGGGTCTTCAAGCAAGACTTCAGAAAGGTTTCAGGAAGCAAGTTTGTTCTAGTGCAGGGTGTGCTGTACATCATCATTTGGACTGAGAGTTCTTGCCCTGATTCAGTTGACTGGTGTGCTGGAGCATAGGGGGAATATATTTCTACATAAAGTTAGTGTGTAACTTTGCCGCTTGTTAATGTATTGTTCACATAAATAAATGCTTCATGTGCAGCAAGTCATGTTATGTCGTAGTCATTGACATGCTACCTTCAGTTTTACTGACGGTGTGCCTGAACAGCAGAACAGCCATCATTAACATGTGGCTTCATTAACAATAGAGTTGCTGTAAATGTCCCCCTTCACTGGGGATCTTTGACTTTTTCAGGTACAGTTTCCCTCCCCAGTTTAATTGCTAGATCCATGGCAGCTCACAAAGCACCTACATTGAAACAGGTTAAGAGGGAACCAAATCCTTTTTGGTCTTTCATGGGTGAAACACTCCGTGTCTTCATACTGGCAGGGCAGACAAAGCTGCGCTCCTTCGAAGACTGTTGAAGGTCAAAAAGATGGAATTCTGCCCTTAAGAAGAGGGGGTTCTTAAACCCTCATTTCTTTATAGAACTGTGGAGGTGCAAGGATGCGGAAGTCTGTTGCTGACCGGGGTTGTCAGCCACAGCAGCTTTGCTTCATGAGGGCTCGCCGGTCCCTTCTTCCCATCTGCCTGCCTTTCCCCTCTTTGCACTTGGTCAACAGCCTCCCCTAGGAGAGTGTTAGCTCCATCTCTGGTACAGAGAGGAAGGGGACTGTCTCTACTCAGGGGCCTCTAAAAACACAGGAACAGTCATGTAGAGATAAAAGCAGCTGTCACCTGTTCCAGTTCAGCCATGACCTACAGTATATACCCCAAGCTTTTCCCATTTTTTATTTAAAACCCTTCCATAAATATTTGTATTGAACCATATACAAATGTTCTCATCCAAAAGAGGAAGATTAAAAAAAGAACATGCTGCTATGCTGTATGGGTTGTGGGGTGTCTTCATTGCCACTTCACTTGCAGCTATCACTTGCTCATCAGTGACCTGGTAAGAGGTCAGGAAAAGCAGGAGCCTTCTGGGGTGAAATTTTGAGCAAGTGGCATCTGACATAACCTAAGAAAAGCCTTGCCTGCTTCCCCTTTGCAGTTTTTCAGTTGTTCCCTTTTTAAATTTTCGATCGTCATTCTTCCCTCTCTCCTCCCCTCCCACAGAAGCCCAGATTGAGAAGTCCTTCATTTGAAATGTACTGTCAAGATCTACATCCTCTTTATCCCTCTCCCTCCCAAGATTTATTCTAGATAGGTAATTCCTTCATTTCCCCAGGTTTTCCTAACAGTGCCCATCACCAAAATACAGTAACTCAGTCATCCTGAAATCTGTGTAATTTCCAGTATTTGGGGCAGCGCTTAGATGCTTAGCCTACATCTCTGTCATCTTCTCAAGCAGATGGGCCCGACAGTTTGATTGCAGCA